GGGGGGGGGGGCTGATTTTAAAAATAAAAATTTGTGCTTTGTGGAATTTTTGGTATTGTTTAATTTAGGGAAATTCCGTTGGTTGGTTCTTGGTTTGATAGAGGAAATGGTTAATTTTTCTGGGAAGGTAATCAAAGCTATCAATGAAATAGGATAAGCCAAGATTCTCTATTAAATTTCATCATTTTGTTCTGTTTTGTTAGAAAGCTCCAAATCGAACTCTCTGAAATTCTTTTCATATTTAAATGTAGTGAGTTACTAGTTTATCAGTAGATGTATGTTTAGAAAATAATGAGAGACTATATTGTTGTTTTCTATCATCATATGATATGCTTCTGCTTTGGGGTTTATTTATTTATTTATTCCATCCTTGTTATATTGTTGGTTTTTTTTTGGTACTCAGGAATGGTGTGAAAAACAAATGGAATATTTCCTTCTTCTTGGTAAACCAGAAGCCAGCAAAGCTATGAAAGCCGGTAGCCTGAGGCATGCCGCTCTTGAAGAAGAGGTATGCCCTCAGATTCTGAATTTGTTTTTTGGGCTTGTGATGTTGTGGGACATTAGTAACATGAAGCTCTGAGGTAATGTTCATCAGCTCTTCATGCTACCCGGTCTTGTTTGTGCTTCTTACTCATTTAAGTTGTCAGATGAACATGAAACGTTTGTTTATCTGTTGAGAATTTCCTTAGGATTCTTGAATTTCCTTTGGCAGGTGATAAAAAGAGTAAAAGTTCAAACTCAATGTATTGAAGATGTATGGGCAATCAAGCTCATGAATTTTGTGGTTGGTGCCAACCAGTTGTTATTTGATGGCTTGACACGCGAGTTACCCATGTAAGTCACAACTATAAACTCTTAACATCTATATATGTATCTTTCAAGACTCAAGAGAAGAACAGTACGTAGTTCTTAACATCTGATGTAGAGTAATTGTTAAATTAATTGTTAAACCAGAGTAGGATTCGCGGAAGGTGTGTGGATGGTTGGAGTGATAGATGAAATACGAATGCGTTCGGAAGAAAACGAGAGATTCCCCATCTTAGTTGACACGAAAACACGCATGCGGCCCACTCTTCCTTCCGAAGCACAACGAAGGAATGGAAGGTATTATCATCATTTTTTTTCTATCACAAGTGGAGTATGAGAAGGGGAGGGTGTTCTCTTTAGAATATATTGGTAAAATAATGAGACTGCCTATTTAAGCAATATGATTATTTTCAACTTTATGATTTTATAAAGATTATTATTACCATGTTTGTATAGATAAACAATCAGCTGAATGGACTTTTTAGTAAAATTTCTTTCACAGAACTAACTAATGAAGTGAAATTCTGCAATGTGGGCAGGCTTCAACTAATGTGCTACAAGCACATCTGGGACAACTTGGTTGCTGATGAATTTCCCTTTGCAAAGTTCTTTGATTTCTTTTCTTTAAATCCTAACTGTATCTTATCACAAGAAATCCGGGCTAATACAACCAGGTCGGGTTTTTCAGCAGAGGTAAAACAAAATCTCCAGCATGTGTTCTAAATTCTAATGCTCTGTGCAATTTTACTATTAAGAACTAACATCAAAATGTGGAACCCCCCCCCCCCCAAACCCACCCACAGACTCTCAGTGATCTGGTGAGGTACTTTCGGAATACCTGTTCTATGCTTCCCCAAGCACATA